CTTTAAAAGTATGCATATCATTCTTTTAAATCCTTCCTTTTCACATTTAAATCATTCAGTTGGGGTCTTTACAAAGTGGAACTGCAATGCTTTGGTTTGTATGCCTCCTTAAAATAATATTGATTATGCTTTTTATTTGTTGGTGCCTTTCACGATCCCCAATGAAACTTTACAACATTAAAAACACAATATTAACAATAAAATTGCTATAAAAACAACTTTAAATTTTATTTTAACTTTACCAGCCCCTCTTTCATCACTTTTCTGGTGTGTGTCTCAAAGCAACTGGATTTGATACTGCTCCTTTAAGTTGCTTCAAGCTCCACCCCCTCCTGCTTCCAGACTGGTCCACTCCAGTTTGATACAGGGGTTACATTTTCTAGCGATGCAGAACATTTTATTTATAATTGAAAGATCTCAACAACAAAAGACATGTCATTTCCCTCAAAGATTATTTGATGTAATAGTTCAGAAAACGTCATAGAAAATAGAGAAAACTGAATGGGTTGAAAAGTATGACCCAAATAGAATACAAAGGTATATTTATAGCACTGGAAGTTACTAAATTAAACTTTTCTGTACTCATTGTGATTCAAAGTACACAACAAAATGTGTTTAACAGCTAAAACGGTGGATATTAATTGATTGATTGACCTGTTCAAGAGATACACATGACAGGTGAACAGGTCATGCGGCAACTAGCAGGGGTCGCGCTACCTTTAAAAATAAAAACAAAAATACCACACAAGGGTAGATGAGGACAAAAACAAAACATCATATTATATCAACAAAATATGATACACAGTGGTGTTTATAGAAAAAAACCCTGCAGAGCAAGAATTTATAGCCAGAGGAGTAATGAGTTTAGGGGGCGTGTATCTGAAGCCATGAATGTTGTATGCACTTGTGTGAATATCTGAAGAATGAGTCTGAAGAATCTAGCCCCCCAAAATAAAAACCCATAGTTCAGCCAAAGTTCAGAATACTGGTGTTAATTGTTCATTCTGTGCAGCTCCAGATTGACCTTCAGGGAATCAGATTACAGACGGGAGTGAGAGAGGTGGAGGGTGTGGACCAAGCCAAGTTGACGTAAACACCAGGAGAAATTAGATCCACAGCTCTTCAAGGTCATGTAGGGGAGAGCCAATTCATAATCAGTTGTTTGGGAACAGAAGAAGATGTTTTCGGTCAGGCAGACAATAATAATTTTCCATCTGCCTTAATGTTCGCTGGTACATCTTAATGTGGCGAATCATATCAGACAAATAGTGTGTTTAATATCCACTTTAAGTAGTTTTAAAACCAGTACTTTTACACTTTTACTTGAGTAAAAAGCTTGAGTAGATACTTCAACTTCTACAGAGCTTCTACAAACCGTAGTATCAATACCTTTATTTGAGTAATAGAGGACAACAACAATAGTAATAATAATAATAATAATAATAATAATAATAATTATAATAATAGACCTACGTACAATAACTATTAAAGATCTTGCAGATGTTTGTTTTTATTATTCAAAAGAAACACTCTTGTCACTTGTGTACAGTACATATGTTTTTTAAGAGAGGGGTGTTTTTTATTGTAGTGTAATTGCTGTTACCAAATGCAATTGCATATCACAACCCAGTGAGATTTAGGAGGATTGTCTTCATTTGAGATTAAACCCAATGACCTACCAATAGTTAAAGCCTTTTGGATGGGAGGTAAAATGAATGTGTTGTACTCTACAAGTTTAAAAAATGCTTCTCTTTGCTCAAGCTCTTTGGATTCTGTCTGAGAATTCCAAGAGAAGACCAAAATCATAAAGTCTTAATCAGACTACATGGGATTCTCATTTTGCTTTATGATTCTAGGAGGTGCTACCAGAGGTGATAAATTATAAAACCAGAATGTTTGTCAGATAAATGAATTGGACTTTTTCCACCCATCTGTCTTCTAAATGTATGTATAAAACACACATTAAATAAAACAAATTGTTGATCCATGGCATCACACACAAATGTTGGCAGTTCCAGATGGTGTGTGAGGGCTAACTGAAATATGAGAGCTTAAATGCATAGCAACCTAGTCACTGACTCCAGCAATATTTCTGCCTTTGCAGTAGATTTCCTGCATGACAACACATTTGATCAATATAAATGAATCAACTCTGGTGTGAACTTTTTTTTCTTTTGATATTTTTACATCAAATAATCAGTCTGAAAAAAAAGTCCTGTAGATGCACGATTTTTTTAAGTCTGGCTGCACTTTTTCAGGACATTTCTGTGAAACATTTCAATCAAGTTCAATAACATTTTTGTCATTGGAGGTCGTTCACGATGTAATGGCAGTCTTTTCTTTTCTTTTTTTTTTTCAAATTGAAAAGCACCACTTTTTCCTCTGTGAACCGCTCAAGGGTCTAAATACTTTGATAAGTGCAGTCTTTAGAAAACCTGCAAATTCCTTCAAATATTACTGAAGAACAGACAGTTTTGAAAATAAAGCTAAAATCAAATAAATAATTTAATGGAAAAACAAGAGGCTGATGCATTTAAAGAATTTTTCAGATTTTATTTATTCATCTGTGTCTGCTTCAACAAACTACCCAGTGTGATGACGATAGCCAGACAACGCAGCCATTCTTGCTTATTCAGTGCAGTTCCTTTAACCCTCATAAGGCCTATAAAAAGGAGCTGAGTTTTTCCCCAATACACTGCAGCAAATTGAACACAAAATGATCCAGTAACTTTTCATCATCATCTTCGCAAATGCAGGGTATAATTGTTTTAAGAAACTGAGAATAAAAAAAATCTATTTCTGTCACCGGAGAATAATTGCTGAGACATGTTTTTTTTTATATAACAGAACAACATAAAAATATGCATTTGTGTCAAAATCTTGTTGTTCTGCTAATCAGTTGTTAATCTGTGCCTGACAAGTGAAAAATCGATTTGATGAAAAGAAGAGAAACTTAAAGACAAAACAAACAAACAAAAAAGAATTATAATGAGAATGAAACCAGGGCTCACATATTCTTTCTAAATATCATTTTGTTGTGAGAGGAGTGGACAGCAGTATTGAACCAGACCACTTGAGATGTAATTCCTTGCTCCAATGAAGGAAAGACTGGACGTCTATTGTCAAGACAAAAGAAAACTAAGATAAAAGAAAGAGAGGTAATAGAAGAAAGGCATCAACAAAAAAGAAA